CTGCCTTTGGTGAAGCCATGCTGGCTGTCACAATATATATTAATAATGGAAACCAAGTGCTTACCCTGTACATTTTTTTTATTTTTAAAAATAGAAATATTTCTTGCATCTTAGTGAATTCTGCTTCCCCTATGCTGAAAATGTTTTAACAGTCTGTACAGATGTCTGATTTTCTCCACTTTGAGTGAAATGTTAATTCTGATTTTATTGATTTTCTTTAGCCAGAGCAAAGGCTCTGTTAGTGGCCTACTGTTACTTTAAGTTACAATAATGCAGCCACATTTTGTGACCCTCATCAGTTCACTTACCTAAACTTTTTTTAATGCGCTTTTATCAATGTGTTCTATATAAATCTTATTAAATGTGTATAAAGGAGCAAATGTGTGTTCTAGCTGTAGTCCATTAGTCATGTAGTGTACATTGAGACAGATTCCAAACATACATTTACAGTGGAAAATATTATCTAAAGTAGCAGCCTCTTCTGTTAAGGACAGCCTGTATGTTATGTCTCAGCCTCTTTGTAAGGATGAAGATGCTTCAAGGTGGTAGCTTGTTAATTTTTATTTGTTTCTAAAATATGCTGTGCCCTGTGACTATATCATGTTTTTATGCTCTTGAAGCTAGGAGTTGTCATATTTTATGTACTATATATTATATTGCTATAAAAGGTATAAGAGTCTGTCTTTTGAGAGCGCTGCTACACCTTCCTATCTATAGTATACAAATTGTTGTTATATTGATAAAATATCAGTGATGCATATGCCAGCTGTAGAGACTGTATTCTACAGGTTTATTTCTGGGGAATGTGTGAATATTCTTGGCTCTATTTTACAGGGTGTTGCTGAAACTAGATCCTTCTCCAAATGACTATGAAGATGATGTAGTGGAAATGTTTGGCTTTCAGTGGGTTACCGAAATGGCATTAGTTGAATCCTGTGAACTTCTCTTTGGATTACTTAGGTATGATAATGTTGGTGTATTTTATAATTAATCCACTTCTGTAATTATACCCACCTTAAGGATGTAACAAACTTTTCAAGTTTTTGATAGTAAAATAATAAAAGACTGTGAGCTATGCAATGCATCCAAAAAGATTATGGTGTCTACCTAACGCTCCAGTAAGTGATGGACAAGACACAGATGGAATTACAGGAAAAAGTAAATTTTGTGTCACAGATTTTTAATATTATTGGACTTAATAACAAGTTTCTAAGCGGTGTGGTGTGTATCTTAGCCATCACCAGATAAAAATTGGTAAGTACAGTTATTACATCAGTGTTGTGGTTACTTTAGAAGGCTCTAGCTTCAGATTATATGAATAAACCGTATAAAATTTCCTTGAATGAGATTGTGCTACCCATATAATTAAAGTTTTCTTTGGAAGATTTTAAGTCCTTTTTTTGTGCATAAAGAGAAGTAAAGGTTAAAAATCTAATACTGTAAATGCTGGATGCAGCACTTTCTTCAATTGTTTGGATTAGGATAGCTTCAGCAATCTCTTCAGATACAGTGACTCAGTGTTTGACTAATTCAGTGTAGATGTTTAATCTGGTCAATGCAAATACACAGATCACTGATAATCCTCTTTGGTACTGATAATCCTCAGGTTGTACAGCACATACAGAGAGTGGATGGGGGAGGAGCTTTTGGATGATTCCATAAATATGTATGATATATTCCATCATTCCTTTGATTGTAGTGGATTCTTCCATCTGTTTAGGGTGTGACCAAGGGCATGATGTGAAATATCATTAATAGGGTCTGGCTTATTGAAACACGATGGCGTAGATGACAGGACGTCTATTAAAACCAGTATTATTTAGCTTTGCTTATTTGATGCAATCTTTGACTTCACGATGATTTTAAATAAATAATAATTAAAAAAATCTGATTAAGGAGATAGGAGGATAACTTAGTTACAAGAAGCACTGTATCTCTTTCAGCATTTAATCTGATCTATTTATTAACATAAAATCACTGGGCAGTGAAACAGCGATGTAGTTGATCTCTTGAATTAAATCTTTTTTTTTTCTGTAATATAAACTTCTCTGTAATTTTAATAGAGATGAACATAAGGCATAATATATTTTATTGTGGTTTTAAAGTATTCAAGCTATACATGTTTTAAAACCTACTGAACTGGTAGAAATAATAGATTTCAGCGAACTTTTGCCTATGAGAGTTTGGTTGCTAAGCTGTCTTTTGGTGTGGCAAGTCCTTCTGCAAAGATATTCTCTCTTTCAGTTCATTTGTTCAGTCATAAAATGGAACACTTTCATTTATAGACCAGCTGACAACTGAAAGTAGGAAAACTCCTTTTTCCGTTGTAGGAATCATTATCTGTTTAGTACAAGTTGTAATGATCCTTGATGATAAGGTGGCTGTAAATAGTTCAATTTATAAAGGATAAATAATGTCTGTTTAAATGCATGCTTACAGAAACCTAGTCTTTTTTAATGTGTAAATATTAAAGATTGCTAATTAGTATAATATTATTCAGCAGAACTGCAAGTTAAAAACATTAATTGCACAGTAAAAAGAATTCTTACCTGTGATTTTTTTTTATGTGATTGAAGATGCATGAGTTGAAGTGAGTGAGAGCTATGTAACCATTTAAGTGGATATATTGAGAGAAGGTATCTTTGATTAATAAACAGAAGTACCAGTTTAACTGTCAGAATATTTATTTGCAAATCAGGTGATTTAATGATTAACAACCATGAGGATCAATCTTTCAGGTACAAATTGAAAATGAAATGACTTATTTAACTGATGATATTTTGTTATGCTTTTCATGCCCAGTCTCTGCTTTGATTCTATCAGCCTACTGTATTCTGTCTTTTGTCAATTCAGTGGGAAACTGGTTTTTTTTTCGTATGTGGCTCCTTTCTGACAATCTCTCTCTCTAACCTTCAGCCTCAACAGCCCTCTTTCATAAAGTCCTCCGGCTTTAAACTTCCTTCCTTTCTACATGGTTGAAATACTTGAAAATTTCATGCAGAAATTCAGCTTTGATTTCAAAACAAAACAAACAAAAAAAATCCCCAACCCACCTAAATGGCAGAAGGTAATTTGGGGTAGCTGACATGATTTTATCCAAGGAAGGAAGAGCTGAGGGGCATAATTTTAACGTGGGGCTGTCCTTTAATATGCAGGTTACAACCTGGGCTTTTTGGTCCTTGTAGGCACTTCCTAGTTTTCAATTGATTTTTTTTTCATAAGAACATTTGATGTGGGTTGGATCTAAGTATCCTGTTTTTGAATCCTTCAGTAGTTGCTGCTTTGATTGTATAAGAAATAAAGCAGAGACCTCCTTCCTCAATTTATGCAGCATTTTCTTTTAAAAGTCTTAAAATCATAGAATAGTTTATAGAATAACTTGGGTTGGAAAGGACCTTTAAAGATCATCCAGTCCAACCCCACTGCAACAAGCAGGAACATCTACAACTAGATCACGTTGCTCAGAGTCTCTTCCAGCCTGGTCTTGAATGTTTCCAGGGACGGGGCATCTACCACCTTTCTGGGCAGCCTGTTTCAGTGTTTCATCACCCTCATTGTGAAAAATTTCTTACTTATGTCTAGTCTAAATCTACCCTCTTTCAGTTTAAAATCATTACTCCTTGTCCTATTGCAACAGACCTTGCTAAAAAGTTTGTCCCCGTCTTTCTTGTAGGCCCCCTTTTAAAGTACTGAGAGGCTCCAATAAGGTCTCCCCAGAGCCTTCTCTTCTCCGGGTGGAACAATCCCAAACTCTTTCAGCCTGTTTTCACAGGAGAGGTGCTCCAGCCCTCTGATTGTTTTTGTGGCCCCCCTCTGGACTCCCTCCAACAGCTCCATGTCCTTCTTGTGTTGGGGACCCCAGACTTGTACATGGTACTCCAGGTGAGGTCTCACGAGAGCAGAGCAGAGGGGCAGAATCACCTCCCTCGACCTGCTGGCCACGCTTCTTTTGATGCAGCCCAGGGTACAGTTGGCTTTCTGGGCTGCAAGTGCGCACTGCTGGCTCATGTTGAGCTTCTCATCCACCAGCACTCCCAAGTCCTTCCCCACAGGGCTGCTCCCAATCCCTTCATCACCTGGTCTGTGTTGATACCGGGGTTTGCCCCAACCCACGTGCAGGACCTTGCACTTGGCCTTGTTGAACGTCATGAGGTTCATATGGGCCCACTTCTTGAGCTTGTCCAGATCCCTCTGGATGGTGTCCCATGCCTCAGGCATGTCAACTGCACCACTCAGCTTGGTGTCATCTGCAAACTTGCTGAGGATGCACTCGATTTTGCTGTCTGTGTCATTGACGAAAATGTTAAATAGTACTGGTCCCAATACTGACCCCTGAGTGACACCACTTATCACTGAACTCCATCTGGACATTGAACCATTGACCACTACCCTCTAGATGTGACCATCCAACCAATTGCTCATTCACCAAACAGTCCACCCATCAAATCCGTATCTCGTCAATTTAGAGAGAAGGATGTTGTGTGGGAGCATGTCGAAGTCCAGATAGATGACATCTGTAGCTCTTCCGTTGTCCACTGATGTAGTCACTCTGTTGTAGACGGGCACTAGGTTGGTCAGGCAGGACTTGCCCTTGGTGAAGCTGTGCTGACTGTCTCAAATCGCCTCCTTGTCCTCCGTGTGCCTTAGCATAGCTTCTAGGAGGATCTGATCCATGATCTTCTCAGGCACAGAGGTGAGGCTGACGGGTTGGTAGTTCCCTGAGTCCTCCTTACACAATTGTGCTTTTCATGTATTCAGTTCAGTACAATGTTATTTCTGTGGAGACTGTACTTGAGACCACTTGAAAATTACAGTTGTTGCAGAATATAGCAGAGTACTTACCTATGTGACAGCTTTTTTAATTTTCTTTTGCAGTGGCAGTTAGCAGCTTCTTTAAAAATGTTCTCTCTCCCTTCCAAAGCTGAACTGAGATTTAACTTTTCTAGAGATGTTTTTCTCCTTTTACTCTAGTGTATTTGTTGCTGTTTATCTTTGGTGCTCAATTCAAGCAGGAGACCACCCTAAGCAGGATGTGGGAAAAGCTGCTGACAGAATTTTCTAGTGTTCGTTCACATGTGAATTAATTTAATGTATACTAAGAATATGCCATGAGCACTAACTTCCAGATTTATTCTGTGGTCAAATACGAAGATCACTTACAGGGAATGGCTTTTGGGGTGTTCGTGTGTGTGCGTGTGTGGTTGTTTTTTTTCTTCACTGATATGTAGTTAATTTTGTATTTACTGTTTCTGTGTTTAATGTTTTAAAAACAAGCAAAAATTCTATCCATTGTCATCCCTTCACACCTGGATGTGCCTGTTCCCTTCCACTAATGCTCTTATCCTAAGTTACATTTTTGTAAGCTTTTCCAGAAATACAAAGCAAGGAACACCTCTCATCTCTCTGTTCTATTTAGAGCTTACTAAAATGTAGTTAAACAACTTTTACCTATATAAATACCGTAAACTTTTCTATTCCTTTAATTAGGCAACAGATATACAGCCTGGAAAACCTAGTACAAACGAGTTCATCTGATTTTGGTAAGTTTAACATGTTTAATTTGACATTGTTGTCAGTATCTGTCTACCTTTTCATTACAGAACTATCTATATCATCACATATAACACTTGTGCTTTGACTCTTGACTAAGGGGTCATGGAATGTGCCACAGAACAGCATATAACCGGCATAAACCTGTAGTAAGGGTACAAATATAGGCAACCAAGTTGATGCAAGGTAGTGTGAAAAGAGAGTGGAAATGTTGTGGGTCAGTTTGGAACCAGATCTGCCCGTGTAGTAGGTGCACAGGGCAATCCTGACCTTCGTGGAGAGCGTCGCATTAATTTGACTTGAGCTAAGATATCACCCCTAAGGTAGAATTTGGCAAAACTATTAACTTGTTTAATTAAAAATGGAAAGTTGCATCAAAATAACTATTTTATATGTATTTATGTCAATATTTTAGTTACAAAGGCAGTGGGTTGGGACTTTATTCAGTGTTCTCTTGGCTTTACATTTAACCAAGTTAGTTATATTTGCTTAGTTTGGAGTTATTTACAAACTTAATTTATCTTTGCAGCAGGATTGATAAAATGGGATCACTACAAAACTCTTTTTTTTCAATTAAGTACTAAGGCATGAGAACCAGTATGTTTCTGAAGGATTGCTGCAGCCTTGGGCATATTCTAAGTTTGAAGGCTGAATTACGTAGCAAGTTGAGAAGTTCAGTAATTACTCAGAAATGAACTGCCTGTTGTGTCCTCTCATTATAGATAAATTATTAGTGTTCTAGGAGTACAAGTGAAAGTTTTTACACATTATTATTATTTTGGTTTGATACTGTCATGCTCTGCCATTTAAAGTATGAATTTATCACCAGGCTTCTTTCATATACTTTTCTTGATTTTATTTTAAAAGTCTAATTTTGTTGACATTAAATACCTAAGTGGAAATAGCCTTATTTTAAATTACATTTGAACTGTTATATGGTAGCTGGACATGAAGAAATTGTTCTGTAGTTCTTTTTCCCTTAAATTTAAGCATCTGGTCTTTTTTCTTCTCTGCGTGCTGTTCTTTATGTCAAATAAGCTAGAAAAATAAAAAACTGTTGAATTTTATGCTTTGCACCAGGCTTTTTTTGTGACTTAAAGCAAGTCACTGATATATCTGTGACTCAGTTCCCCCTTGATACAAGCAGGCTAGTAGTAGAGGAGGGTTGTGAGGATTGAAATATTTAAAATGATCAGGCAGCGTGATGCATTATTGATGTCTTAGACAAATGTGCTATTGCCACAGTTTAAAACTCCAGTTTAGAGTTTTATCATCTCAGTAAATCTTTGTTGTGCATATATATTATACAGATATCAATATTGTACATTTAATTTAATTTAATTTCCTGTCCATCTTAATGAGCTTTGGAGACTTGGTACTGAGAACTGTGTATTGTGGAAGCCTTGTAAAATCTTTTCTTGTGCTCTGTGTTGTTGTGCCTTTTTTTCTGAAAATGCCTGATTTGTTCTTAACATTCTACTGTTCCTGTTTTGTTCCACTTATTTCCCTGATCCATGATTTATAACAGCATGCAAAAGATTTTATAGTGAAATACTGTAATATAAAATTTTGCTTAAACAGAACTTCCTGGAACTTAGGATAAAATATTTGTAATTGCTACAAAACAGAATTAATATCTATAAAGAATTGAATAGAGTGATTTGATCCTCTAAACCTATGGTTAATACCATGGCAGATCCTGTGGCTTCTTATGTAGCAGAGGTAGGCTATACACTGGAATATTATGGTACTTGTACCAGTTGATTTGCTCCACTCAGGGAGCATTGTTGCTCAGAAGATGTTGAGACAGGCTTATATGCACAAAACTTTATTTGTGGGGTCCATAACAAGTGTCACATGTAAACTTCAGGGTTACCTGGAGGGGATGGGGGAGACAAAGGGGAGAGCGAGCAAGAAAAGGAAAGGGAAGGCTTTTCAGTGGCCAGCTGGGGAGAGGAGCAAAAATGACTGCCTTTCCCTGTAGTTCTTTAGTGCAGTAGGTGACAGAGTTTTTGCCACATCTCCTCTGGTGCAATACACTTTCGTTGGGGCCTGCTCAGGTGCCTCGTTTGCTGTTCCAGTTTATTATTCTCTTAACAATGATTGGCATGTGCTTAATCAGGTGCAAGTGTTTCAGGCTGACTGGTTGCTAAGCTCTTGTGTATGTATATATTATTGGGCAGTAGTTAGTGGGTATTTAAATGACTATCTGCTTTGTTATGCACTGAGTTTCATCCTTCTCTAATATAAGCTGAAAGCTACAAGGCAAGGTGTGGGAATAAATAAGGAGTGATTCTCACACCAATAACAGTAGCTTCCAGTGAATCTCTGCTGTAATGATGGTGTTTGAGCTTGCAGGTGCAAGACAAGGAGAGTAACACCATGAGAGCAACAACTTTAGAGAGTAAAGGAAGGGAGACACATTAGCTGCAATAATTGGCTGAAAGGATACAGAGCTGCAATGGAAAGGCCGGCTACAGGACTGTGAATGGACGACTCTTAGCATTACACAACCTAAGGCACTGTGCAGCAATGTGATGCTTCCTAGAAAGAGAAGTTACAAAGCGTGCTTCCAAATAAGTCCACCTGCTTAAGCTCCCCAAAAGAAAAGGATCCTGAGAAACTGTTTCACACCTGGCTTTTGTGAAGGTGTCTTGGAAGCAGACAAAGAGCAGAGCAGTAGGGCTGAATGATTTGTTCTAGCACTGATTGCCTGCCTCTGGATGGCAGGGACTGCCTGAGGGACTGGATGCCGCCTTTTCCCTCTGTATCTGGATATGCACCTGAGATGATGAGAGAAAGAGTGGATCCCTCTGGCAAGATGACATTTAGAAGTGGGTGTTTGCCAGCAGCTGTCTACCAAGTTGTCCTCAGAAAAGAAGGTGGCTTTCCAGTGGTCTGGTTTAATTACTGTGGAGAATGCATATATTGTGTGAGTCAGTGTGGGCACATCTGCTTTAAGCTATTGATCTCTTTTACTTCAGGTCAAGCTGCAAACTTGCACTCTGAAGCAGAGAGCATCAGGCGTCAATGTGTTGAGTTTCTGCATTATGTGAAAGTTTTCATCTTCAGGTGAGATTCGCACACAATTTGCGAACTTATGTACTCAGCTTTGTGTAGCTTTCTTACTCGTCTTTTGTGTGTCTGTGTGTTTGTGCAGGTATCTGGAACCGCCTAAAGTGGAAAATGACGGAATGCTTCATCCATACGAAGAACTAGAAGCGCAGTTACCATCAATGTTGGTGGAAGAGCTTCATGCTTTGAACATGCACATTGGTCACCTTTGTGAACTCCCTAGTAATGTCCTGGCAGCATTTACTATTCAACATCAGGCAAAGGTTGATGTCTTTTATAACTTGAATTTTTTTTGTGTGTAACAGTACATATTCAACTTGATAAATTTTGGCTGAAAAATTAATCTTTTTTTGCTAAAAAATTAATCTTTTTTCAGGCTGAAATTAAAGTTAAGTGTTACATTTTAGGGTTTTTTTCCCCCTGTATTAACTAAGTGCCATCCCATACTTGGCAAACACAACTAATGAACTTTGGATTTTCAGTTACTGGTTTTATTTATATGTTTATGCTTTTAGAATTCTTCCTGCACTATGCTAATGATAATACCAATTACAGGTAGATATGTAGGCTTGGATTAGTGTAGCATGTTTAAAAATTCCTCATTTGTCCTTACTAATGTTTAAAATTTCTGAGCTTCCCAACAGGAGGGGCACTTAAAAAATACATGCTGAAATCTAACTCAAAATAGGAAAGGATCTTGCATAGAAAGAAGAAAAGTGTAAATATGAAAGTAGGCACTGCAACATTAAACACTAGTGAAGTATGCACCAGTAAGATTTGTGCATACATATAATAAGTAATGCTTTCAAATTGTTAGAAAGAAAAAAAAGAATTTAAGTCTTAAATTGTATAAACTAATATCTGGAGAGAAATGATCCACTGAGAAGCAGCGTTTTGAATCTTTCTGTTTGTTTAGCTTGTCATTAGGGCCACTGTTTAGCGGATGAAAGAAACAGTAATTTCAAGTAAACTTTAAGGAAGAGAATTTTGAAATTCTGAATTACTCTAAGAGGACTCTACTTTAGCAGTTTGTGTGATACCTAATACTTTTCTGGAAAGGAAAGGATGACTAAGAATGTTGTAATCTGTCAAGCTTGAATCAAGACATTGTGTTTAAGTTGTAGTTTAGAGCAGATTAAAGACTTCACGAACATCCTCTACAAAGAGAATTAATTGTTGTGAACGTTTTTTTTTAACTGAATGACGTGTTTGTATGTTACAGTGTATTTGATCATAGGTATCTGTAGTGTTCACTGCAGGCAAAATGTGTGCCTGTGTTCGTGTGTCTTAGTACAGTATCCAGAATTCACTAAAGAAATGTTAAAAATTAGAAAGAAATGTTAAAAAAAGCTAGATAAAAAAGGTCATAAAATACAATAAATGTGTGTATTTCTACTCACAGGTCTTTCCCCCATCATGGCATTTACTACACCTTCACTTGGATATTCATTGGCTAGTATTGGAAATTCTTCATGTACTAGGTGAAAAAATGATGAGTAAGTATGCAGGGTTTTTTTCTTGAACTTAATCTCGTACATGTGTCTTACCTAGATTTCTCATCTTAATTTGTTCAGAATCGTTTACTACTTCTGGTGGTTTTTAAGCGTAGCTATATTTAATTGGGTAACTCAAATGTGGTGAAAGCAGATTCTTTGTGAATCCTCATGCAGCTCAAATTAAATGTAATAGTATTAGGAATTTGTTCTATCAAAACTTGACCAAGATTATGAAGTTTGTTCCCAACATACTAAATATTTAGTAACAATACACTTTTTGATATTGCAAATAAAGATGCATTTGCAGAGATCCAGAATGCATAGCAGTGAACAGCAATTTGATGAAAACAATGTAAGAAATGTGTTCAAGGATGGACTAGAAGAAAGCATCTCAGAACAGATAATTCACATTGTTAGCCATACGTGACACTGAGAGAATATTGAACAAAGAAAGAAACTTCTGTCAGAGGAGCTTGTAAAAGTATAGCAAGAAAAGGGCAATGCACAGCTTCTTTTTTTAAAAAAAAAACTTTTAAAAGGGCAAAAAGTAGATTGATAAGAGTAAGCTGTTCATAGAAGCTAGATAAAAAAGGTCATAAAATGCAATTGAAGAACCCAACTTCAAAAGTAGTTTAGTTCACTGAAGAATTGTTAAAATACAGAAGAGAACTTTATTTGCTTTGAGAATTATTTCTATTGTTTATGTCCATGGTAGCAAAATAAATCACAAAAATGTATTTTCTTCTATAATCATTGTGTCACTACAACCAAACCTCCTCCCATTATTATAAATCATCAGTATAAGTCCCATGTAGGAATTGCAACAGTTGGAGTAATGTTGAGGTCTAGAAAGAATGCACTGTATGTTTAGTCTAGGTAACTGGTACTGAATCTGAGCTCCTGGATTAGCTTTTGCCTGCTCTGAGTGCTGTCACAACGCAGCCTTGCTCGGATTAATGCATCTTCACTGTTTCTGCATGTCTGTGCTACTGGATAATGTGTGGGTTGGCTGTTCATTCTATAATTCTAAGTTTCTTTTCTGATCCATTGTGAGATAACATTTTTTTTTGGAATCTTTTGAATAAAGGATGGGAATACTGTCAGAGGCAATTTATTGTCCAGAATTCTATGTTTCTATATAAAGTTCTGAGTAATAACACCGGCAAGTCAAGACTTACTAGTCCAGACAGTAGTATCTCTGCATTTATTATCTTGTCTTATATTCTTATGTGTCTTGTAGCATTTCTTAGGTTCTCATCTTGTTCTGTAAAGTATGCTGAGTGGAGACTTCACACTGCTGAGACCAATGGCAGGATAGTGGGTTCAGAGCTTTACCTTGCTTTTCCAAGAATAAAATACAGGCTTTTTCTATGGATCTTATGTTCCACTCATGTCAAGGGAGTTGTACTGCTGGAAAGCTTGTGGGATAAGATCTTAACTTTACCATTTTATCTGTGTTAATGTCTACAAATGCTCAAGTTGGAATATGATCATGCCAGATTTTTACATCAACACATCCAAAGGAAAGTGTTAGACCTCTCCAGAATTGTTTGTCATCAACTTGCATATCTGCAAAAACATGTCATGATTTCAGAACATGCGCACTGGCATGTGACAAAGAGGAACTTGCAGATAAATAAATCTTTATTCCACTGTGAAAACTGTGCCAATAAAAGGCTTTAAAGTGCCAAACTATTTTATTGTTAATCAGAATAATACTAGACTTCAGTGTAATAATGAAGGGACTAACTTGAACTTAGTATGGATTAACTTTCCCAGATAAGTTTGTAAATTAAAATTACTTACAGCTCAACAAACCAATTCTAAAATATATAGGATAGAAAAAAGTTTCCTGTCTTTCTTGGATTCCTACAGCCAAACCCAGGACTAAATAGGTCTAATTTTCTTTTGTGTTTTAGGACAAGTTATATATGCTAACAATTTCATAAATCTAACCGGAGAGAATTTAACCAGTATCAGTTTATTTGAAACACATTGTGGAAATCTCATATCTGATTTAATAAGCTTGTCCATCAACAAGTATATAAAGGTAACTTTTCTTCTTTATATAGGACATGAGCAGTTAGATGCTTGTATTGGGAACCATATGAATTAGATATTGCACCAATGCATAGATCACTTCTTACTGCTAAGTTTTAAAATTATGTGTGTTATGTATGGCTTCGTATCTCCATGTTTTAAAGAGTGTTATTTGTTAGGAGCTCAAATTTGTGTTGTATTTATTCATGACCATCTGGCAGTTGAATGAGAGAGTAATATTGAAATGCACTGTGTACAGAGCAGAAGTGAGTGCCACATTTCCTAAGTTCAGTGTTCCAGGTTTAATGCCAAACATGGCAGAGTCTAAAAGGTTCAGAGCTATAGATGCAAAAAAGAAAAAATCTTTTCAAATTATCTCAACAGGAACAAAAAGAGAATGACTGTAATCTTGGCAGTAAGCTGACTGGACGCTAACAGAATGTCATATTACAATTTATTGTTGCACTGCTCCTATTTCTGCAACCTCATCTTTCTGTTACAGCGCTTTTATGTTTGTCGAGGGAAAACTTGTCCTTCTCTTTTCTTTTATTTTTCCTTCGTTCTATAGCTGCAGTGTTATTCTCACTTGTTTTGAGCACTCTGAAGCTAGAAAGTCATAATAGCTCCATATAGCAGCCAGTAAAAGAGCTGCATAATCTTCTTTGACTGTGTCATTGTGAAACCTGCTTTAGATGGGCATGTGTGATCCATGAGTGCAGGACTGAACTCTGAGAATAAGTAGCAGTGACCACTGTATAATTTATGTTTTCCTAGTACAAAGACATGAAAAATGGAGTCCCCCTTCTTTCATGTTACTGTCTGGAGGGAGGGGGAAATGGTTGTAAGTAGCATTTGATAACTGTTCTTTTAAACTGTCTTCCTGTGGAGAACTCTATTACCTTTTAAAATCAGTTTTGATCTATTAAATTATCACATAATACTTCAACCTCCTCCTCTGTCAAAAGGCTTATAAATGAGACTGTTTTTTTAATGGAAGATTCAAATATTATCTGTTTACCATTGCGCGTGATGGTAGGCTTTGAAATGTTGCATACTAGTATGACAGATTCACCCTATTTCCACAGAGCCACATCTTTTCCTTTTGAAGAGCTTGTTTTAACACCACTTTTTCTTCAGCTCTCCCTAGGCTTGGGCCACATAGCTTGAACTAGTTATATTTGAGATTCATTTCAAGTGGTGCTTGGACTTGAGCTGGGTCTTCAGCTGATGCCTCCTGTAGTATGCATTCATGGCTATAATCCAGTAATGGAAATAATGTCCCTCAAAATCACTGAAAACACAACTGTTACCTGTAATAGATGACACTGTCAGCTCATCACTAAAACATATAATTAAACTTTTAGTTGAGAATATTCAGAAGCGCAGTTCTTAACATTTGTGGGTATCCTTGGAAGGAGGAGGGACATAAACTCAAATCCTTCATAGTCATATATTCAAACCTGTTTCTTGGGCAGCTCTGATATCAAGACTTGGATCATGTACTGAGACCGTTGCGCTCTGAGATACATTTGGCAGAGAAATATATATCCTTGGATATCTTCTTTCTATTTTCAGCAGAACAACTCTGGCGCCAGAGCTCTATTGCCTCAACAGTACCCTTCTTACTAAGATACCGAACTCAGGATGTTGCAAGAGGAAATCCAAACTCTCTCTGAAGAAAACAGTGTCTTGGTTATCCTTAGTCTAACCAATGTCAATATAGTGTCTTGCCTTGATATCACTAGCCAAACTCTATCCTGGACGGATACTGCACGTCTCCTGCAGAAGACAGCCTCCTATATTGTAGAAGAGCACAGTAGTAGATTCAAGTAGTAGATGAATCAACAGGGCTGGGATCATCAACAGGGCTTTAAACTAGATGTGAAGGGGGTGGGGGGTATTGTCAGACTTAGAGGATTAACAGCCGAGGACGGCCCTCCATTGTCTGATGAAAGGAGTGTAGGTAGGTGCCTTCAGCCTGCTGCCTCAGTGATACTAGGGGGTGATATGTGTAGTCAAGAGCAACACACAAGTTGCCTAGAGGTTAAAGAGAATCCCAAAAATAACAGCTCAGGTAATAAAACTTCCCCCCCTAGGGGTGCTGTGGGGTCGAAAGCCCAACTTACGTGCTTCTATACGAACGCACGCAGTATGGGCAATAAACAAGAGGAACTGGAAGCTCTTGCTATCCGGGGAAACTACGACATAGTTGCCATCACTGAAACATGGTGGGATGACTCGTATAACTGGAGTGCTACCATGGATGGCTACAAGCTCTTCAGGAGGGATAGGAGAGGTAGAAGGGGTGGTGGGGTTGCCCTGTATGTAAGGGAAGATCTAAACTGTTTAGAGTTAAGTGTTGGGGATGACCTAGTAGAATGTCTGTGG